AAAAATGCTGAATGTTTATATTCAGATTTTACGTGTTGCAAGGAACAGCTCTTAGTCAACCTACATAACGAAATAATTTAGATCAAGCTACTATAATAAAAATTGCACAGTAGTACTTTAACCCTAATACTAGACTCAGTCTTGGCTGTTCAAGTACTTAAACTTTTAATTTGCAAAGAGTCTAGTAACAAGTCCCTTGAAGTCTATTACAAGCCAATTCAAGAAAACACCTCACTTATCTTTAAAATAAAGCTGTACCCTTCAACACATGTGGGTATCATTAGAAAACTCTACAGTTTTGCCAAATTCAGCCTGTAAGGAGTTTAACAAGCTCTTGCGTATTCTTTTCTGCCAAATTGGCGATGCTCTGGTTCCTGTACTGGTTCCGGCAGTAGGCTTTCAGTCAAACCACATCCAGGCAAGGCTCCAAAGAATTCTAATTGCCTATTAGGGACAAGTTTAGATTTTTGGTAGTTTATCATGAACCCTAATATTAGGAACACCCCAATGTTGATACAGATCAGTCATCCAAAACTCTTCAGAGTAGTGTCCTTAATCAGTCAATTGTCCAAGTAAGACATCATATGCCCTTCCTGCCTATGCAAATATGCTTGATTGTAGTTGTGGCTTTTGTGAAAACACATGAAGCCAACACTCTCCCAGAAGACAAGTCACAAAATTGGTAGCAATGTTCCTCAACTGCAAGTCAGATTATGGCTGTATATATGCTCACAGAAATACTTCCTGAGCACTGAAATTAAGTCCCGAGCGCATAGTCAGCTGCCTTGTTCTACAAGAGGCATGGCCACTCTTAGGGTGACCATCTTCAATTTCTCTTTGACAACATACTGATTTAGTTCCCTGAAATCTAGGGTGGGCCAGAGATCTTTTGTCATTTTGATTAGCAGGAAGTATCTGGATCAACAAATCACACACACCCTGCAGGGGAGGAAGCCCTGTCCCTCCCCAGCCTGTCCAGACTAGCAACTAGGAGCCCACAGCTGGGGCTTTCCCAGCAGCTTGGGGGAAGATCAGACCCATCTCTGAGAAGCTTCTTCAGCTGCAGGAAGCTCAGTGGAAAGAGGAAGTCCCATCTCTCTCCAGCCTGGCCAGGATTTGTAGCTGGAGCCCCTGCACAGTAGGAGCCCCCAGCTGCATGGGGGAGATCAGACCCACCTCCACGAGCCTCTTCCAGCTGCAGGATGCTCCATGGCTGCTGACTTCAGACTCCAGCTCTGAAGGCAGTGCAGAAATGATGGTGGCAATCCTGCAACCCCCCCTACAATAGCTTTGTGACCGCTTCACTACTCATTTTTGGGTTGGGACCCCACGGTTATATCATGAAATTTCAGATGTAAACATCTGAAAACATTAAATTGACTGATTTTAAAACCCTCTGACCTTGAAATTGATCCTGATTTTGGAGGCCCTAACTATTAGCTTCATGGCAGCCTTGCACAGGACTAGTTGTGAAGAGGCATCCCCTTTTGTTACTTGTACATGAATGACTGAGGGAGAGAGTCTAGAGCAGGGGTGGGCAAACTTTTTGGCCCGAGGGCCACACTGGGGTGGCAAAACTGTATGGAGGACTAGGTAGGGAAGGGTGTGCCTCCCCAAACAGCCTGGCCCCTACTCCCATCCTCCCACTTCCTGTCCCCTGACTGCCCCTCTCAGAATCCCCAACCCATCCAACCCCGCCCCCGCTCCTTGTCCCCTAACCGCCCCCTCCCAGGACCCCTGCCCCTAACTGCCCCCTGGGACCTCACCCCCATCCAAACCCCCTGCTCCCAGACCCCTAACTGCCCCCCTGACCCCTATCCACACCCCCACTCCCTGATAGCCCCCCCAGGACCCCACGCCTATCCAACCCCCCGTTCCCTGCCCCCGACCCCTATCCACACGCCCACCCCCTGACAGGCCCTCCAGACTCCCATGCTTATCCAACTCCCCACCCCCTGTTCCCCATCCTGACTGTCCCCCAAACCTCCACCCCTTATCCAACCCCTAACCCCCTTACCATACCGCTCAGAGCAGCAAGTCTGGCAACCGCGCCGCCTGGCTGGAGCCAGACACGCTGCTGTGCAGAAGCGTGCAACCCTGCCGCCCAGAGTGCTGCCTGCATGGCAGCGTGGCTGCGGAGGAGCGGGGACAGCAGGAGAGGGGCCTGGGGTAGCCTCCCGAGCTGGGAGGTCAGGGACCGGGCAGGACGGTCCTGTGGGCCGGATGTGGCCCGTAGTTTGCCCACCTTTGGTCTAGAGGCTACAATGCAGAAACCGAGTAGTGGGGTGCTGCTAGCCACTCCTCAGTAACTCCTCCCTCTTTGGAAGAGACTGTCTCATCCTGTGACCTGAAGAGCGGTACCAATGACCACAAATGCCTGGCAGAGCCTTCAGCTCTGAAGATCACATTACCAGCTACTTTGATAAATCTGGCAGGGCAGCTTTTCTAACAGAGAAGAGTTGGGCCTGCACTGTTTAAACAGCTCTAGTACCAAATCTTAGCACTCAGCAGTCTTGACCAACTCAAAGTTTTAACTTTAAGGAATTACCCTTCAAAGTAGTCAAAGCCAGCCCGGTGCCATTCTTACTGTAATCTCCCTGAGGTTTTACTGATGCTTCTTCGGTGCTCAGGATGACATTGGCCCCCAGAGCATTTTGGTCAATTTCAAGGCAAACAATGCAACAAACATGGGTCTTCAGCACTATTCTGCCACAGACAGGGTTTGAGCTCACAAAGCAGGTGCTGTTGTGCTCTTCAAAAGTCTAAGTCAGCTCTCTAGCACCTCAAGTGTGGGGGGACTGCAAAACACTAAACTGGCCAAACACACGCTGAAGGACTGAGAAGATAAGCACCACACAGAACCACCCCATGGTGTTCAGTTTACTAACCCCTCAAAGTAAATCAACTACTACTATAGTGCTCCAAAATATAAAGAATCCATTGCAATATCTAGAACCAGATATACAATATTTACATTTGCACAGCTCATTTTGTACTGGAAACAAATCACAGCCTTGGCAAGCCTGTATCTAATGTTGTTCTATACATAAGGCGTAAGGTGCTCAGGTTCTACAGTATTGAAAGCAATATAAGAACCTATATATAAAAAATAGTGAACTTTCAGATGCACACTGTCCTGGCAGGAGTTCTGCAACACTGGACTTAAAAACAGAAGTGACATCCTGGCTCCATTAAGCTGTTCATGTTCAATTGATGTTATATAACTGCAGTCTGATTATAGGATCCACAAATGCTTGTTATCAACTTTGTTATTTAGTAACACTAGCCCTCTTCTTCTAAATCACTTTACAGACATCAGGAGTTTCTCTTTATTAAATTAGATCCTTAAATCACTGAGCTGTGTTTGTTTCATCAGCATCCAGGCTCGCCTCCAAAATGCTAAAAAGTAAAGACAACCTAAATAAATGCTCAATTGCAATGTCACCACTCTCTTAAATTATTTTGGCTCATGCACTTGAAACTGTCTTACTTCTATTTATTTTAGTTTCAGTGCTATTAGAGTAGTTTCACTACATTTCTACCAGAAGCACTCTTGCCTTCAACAAAGAGAGGACTTACTTATAAAATGTAAAGGGTTTAAGTCACGCCACCACAGTTTAGTCTGTGCATCTGATTATCTGCTATCAGAACAATTTTTGTGTTCAGAACAATAAAAACATTAAAAGTATAAACTCAATTGTACACAGATTTTAGCCCTAGCTGGTTCACCAACTGCTGAACAATGGTATAACTTCATTTTTAACCTCATTGTTTTAATGCTGAACCAAGATAATCACTGGATCATGTATTTTGACTTAAATGTAGCCTCTTTAAAGTCACAACCAGCTGATCCCCAACTTCTTCAGCTCTCACACATCAAGAGATGATTGGAGAAGAAAAGCCTGGGGAAGATAAGATAAGAGACAGCGAGGGAGGGAGAGGCCAGTCCTGTGGTTCGGGTCAGGCAGGGCTGGAAGTCAGGAGGTGTGTTGTGGGCAGCTCGCCAGATTCACTAGGTGACCTGGGCCCAGGCACTTGTCCGCGTCCTCCCGTTCCGCACACAGGCTTCCTGCCTACCTGCAATCGCTGAACCCGGCAACGCGCTGAACCGTTCTGAAGGCCAATGGCCAAGCGCTTCCCACCCTCTCCTGGCCAGCGCTGCACCCCAGGCTCACAGCTGCTCTGGGAGAGACTCCCCACGTTCAGCTAGACACCGCCCAGCACAGGGCCAGGCGGTAACCGCTGCCAGCCCCAGCCCTGAGCAGCAGGAACCCGCCGCTCCGCCCGCCCGCCCATGCACGCACTCTCGCGCGTCCTGGCCCCCTGCCCAGCCGGCCCCCAGTGCTCTCCTAGAGGGCCCACAGGGAAGAGTTCAACCGCCTCCCGCCAGCCGCGGTGTGCGCAGGCCGGGCCGGGCCGCTCCCCGTACCGGGCTGCGGCGGGACTCCGGGCGCCGCGGGGCTCTCGGGCTGCAGGACCTTGCGCTCTTTCTGGGACTCTCTCTTGCCGGCGGCGGGGCCGGGTCTCGGGCCGGGTCCGGGTTTCCTGCCGCCGGCGGCCGCCGCGGCCTCATCGCGCTTCCTGCGCTGCTGTTGGCGGCGCTCGGCCTCGCGGAGGACGTCGAAGGGGTCGGACTCATCGTCCAGCAGCTGGTGGAAGCGGTTGGCGACGGCGCAGCCGAAGCTCTCCTGCATGGCGGCGGACACCGGGCTCCCCAGCGCCCCCTTCATCATCGCCGCGGCCGCCCCGCCACCTCCGGGCGGCGGCAGCTGCGGGCGCTACCAGTGCGCGGGGCGAAACCAACCCGCGCGGCAGGGAAGGAACAGGGGACGGACAGAGCCGGGCCCGGCTCAGCAGGGCCCAGACAACCACGCCATCGCCGCTCGACCCCTCCCTACGCCCCTGAGAGCGCCAATGACCAACCAAAGCACGGGCACCCCTCGCGGCCCACATCACAACCAATCAGGGAATTCAACCGCGCCCAGACAACCAATACCAGCCACGGCAAGCTATAACAACCAATCAAAACATTTGGTCCAACCTGCTGCGTGCCGTGAAAGCCAATCAAATCCGTAGGATGCCACCAGTCAATCACACGCCACCGACCAATGAAGTTTAGCTACTATGTCGTCGCTGCAGGTAATTTTGCCTCAGCTGCGCCTCGCTTGCGTGCGGCATTTAACTATTTTACCCCCGTGATAAATCGTCATTAATTATTTATGACGTTGTTAATTATTCATGAGCAAATGTAGCCCGAAAGGGGCTGGGGCTGGACAGGCAGGGGCTGGTCTGAGCACAACCTGTGTGTGGTTGGTGGGGGTGCATAGCAGGGAGGGGCTTTCTGTGGCCCCACCTCTAAGGCATGGTGTACAGTACACCTAAAACCTAGGTCAATCTAGCTGCCACTCTCAGGGCTATGAAAAATTTTGCTCCTAAGGCAGCCTAGCCCCCATGTAGATGAAGCTAGGTACAATGAAGAATTCTTGTATCCACCTACTACCACCTCTGGATGGGGTGGTTCTACTACTGCAACAGAAAATCCCTTCCATCCATCTCTGAAATAAGGGTCTGCATCACAGCGGAGCACCACAGCTGGGCCACTGACACTGTTGTTGTAGTGAGGGCCAGATTTCCAATTAGGCACAGTAGACACGTGCCTAGGGGCACCTAAAAGTTAAAAATGGGTTAAAAGTTTCAATTATTATGAAAAACACAAAGGTCAGCTGTAGGCAGAGGGGGTGCTGAAGACGTTGTACCTAAGGGCGCATAAGGTGTAAACCTGGCCCTGCTTGTAGTGCAAACATACCCTCAGTAATAATAGTCTGGTACTAAACTGGTACAAGGTTGATGCTGCTCATCTTGCAGTACATTATACCCAGTTGTATAGAAACTCTTTCCTTAACCTTTGTATTAGATAATTTTAATATTAGCTTTAATTAAAGAAATTATTCCTGTAAGATGCCATAGGTAAAGGGGGGGTGTCACCTTTGCAAAGGTCAAAACGGAAGACTCCAGGGCATCCTTTCACATTAATTAATGAAATAGGACACATTAATTGAAGTCAATGAAGTTCTGTCCGATCAGGCTAGGGCTGAATTTGGCTGTAAAATATTTGCTATTCTTTTTCACGTATGCCTATTACAGATTATGGTGCCAGCAAAATGCAGCAGAGTGGAAAGCACAGGCGTATGCAATGCATTACTTGATTAGTTTTTCTTTACACGACAATCCCAGCAAGCTGGCAAATGTGCAGACCCAATGAATGAGAAAATAATGCGATTATTACTCAAGAAATCAGTCATTTTGGTTAGAGGATGGTTGGGGGAAGCAAAGAAAAACAGAATGCCTAAAAATTGTTTCTAGAAAGTCTAAAGGCTTCTGGTTGAAGTCTTCTGGATATCTTTACACAGTCAAGTTAAACTGAGTATAAAACTGAAGGGCTGAAAATAGAGGTTAAAAGGAAGAAATAGGGATTCCTGATAAATATCCTGGGAGAGTGACCAAAATAGTGTTTTTCCCACCTTTCTTGTGAGGAACACACACGGCTTGACTTGGGCTAGGTAATGCCAGATTGGCAACCTAGACTGACATCTCAGAATTGCTTTCTTTAAGGGGTTGTCTACACAGAGAAATTAACCAGACTAGCTACTGGACATGAATTAAAATAACCTGGGAAAAAAACACTTTTTCTGGAATAAGAGTGTCTACATGGGAAGCTATTCTGGAATAGCTATTGCACTTTCAGTTCCCCTACCTTATTCCAGAGTAACCTTCCTATATAGATAAAACCTAAATCTCCTGCCCTTATGTTTGCAAAGAAAACCATGAAAAAACATAAGCTGAGTGAAAACCAGTGCAGTGTTCACTGTCTGCCTGCATCTGCTGCTAGCATGAAAGAATAGCTCTAATGGGGTGTTGACTCAGATGCCCCATAATGAAAATTTAAATGTCAACATTAACTATTTTACTGCAGATCAAAGCATATATGAAAAAAAGAGGAAGAATCATATTATTAAAGTTTGCACAATTCACTATAAATGTAATTTTATTTTCTTACTACTTGGGCAAGTACTAGCACATTCTGTCCTGTAGTGCTAATAAAACAGATTAGAGAAGAAAGCATCTAAACCTCCACCATGAGGAAGCCAATGCAGCAGAGCCCCACTTGGCATCCAAGCCTTCCCAGACCAGCATACTTGCTGCCCTCACCTGCATTTACAAAGACTGAGTGCACAAATCATATAAGTAGTCATGAAAATGTTTTAGTACACATAATGCATGTTTTATTCACCTTATAGTAAAATCACCAACAAGGTATACAATTAGAGATGGGCCCAGTGGATCCGAAAATTTCTCTAAAGTTTGGCTTTGTTTGGATCTGAGTTTCTGGGTCATTCTGTTTTAGAAAAGTGGCCTCCCACAAAGTTCTGATCTGACGCTGAGCTTCACCACCCTTTAGGATTCTTTGAATGTTGGGGTTTTGGTTCAGGCTCCCCTTTAAATAAAAAATACTAGAAATAATCTTAGTAGTAATTATCAAATATTATAAAATTAATTGAGGTGGCATAGCACCACATCAGCAAAGCTCTCATGTAGTAATTCAGTGTAGTAATATTCAAAATCAGAGACAGAGAGAAAGCTGAGTTACTGTTTTGTTAGTACTTCTGTGGTACATTTTAGATCCCTGCATGGGATTATTCTTTAATCCCGCTCCCACTATTATTGCAGCGGGTCGTGCGAGACCCACAGGATCCCAGTCCCACTGCAGAGCTCTACACTAGTCCCATGCAGGGCTCTAGTACATCTAGCCTGCTGCCTATAGCCTGTCTGAAAACCTTGTTCTCCCCCTCACACTCATCATCCTTACATTCCTAAACATGGCTCACATTCTTGCATGTTTAAGAGATTTTTTTTATTGCTCACAGTAATTTCCACTTGGCTGCTGTCTGGCTGGCAAGTGGTACACAAGTACTCTCTGCGCTGCAAAAGCAATTTTATACTCACTGTACTAATTGAAGGAAGAGTGTGAATGGGCCAGCAGTGAGGGATGTTGGCAGAGCATAAGGAAAATGGTACTAGTACTATAACTTTTTTGTTGGGCAACTGTTTGTGACAGATATGGCAATATCCTGAACAAACCTTCTTAAATTAAGTTAAACATTATTGAATTAAGTATTTTTAGAACTTCATTGTATTACAAATGAAAATATTTATGTTTTAGTGTGACATTGTATGAAACTTCTTTAAGAAGACAGAATTAATACAATTTCTGGGAAGTACTGTGGGCAGCAGAGTGAAAAGAGACCAGAACAAGAAGGAAAGACTGAGTAGAAGGAAGGAAGGAGGAGATGGGGTGCAGCGGAATTCTGGACTCCCCTTAACAGACACTGACCAAGGGACTCTTGGAGTGAGGACACTGTGGCAAGGATTTGTGTACAGGTTTTGTTGTTTTCCCACACAGGTGTGTATCTCTTGTGCCTCTCTGCATAAAGTAGGACTGGTTTAGAATTTCTTTTTCAGTCTGTATTTTTGCTTCAACTATCACATATTCCTGAAGATTTAAACAGTACACCAGATTGCCCACAAAGTGGAGCTCTGTCTCTGTGAAAGGGAGTGCTTAAGCTACTGGAATGTAAAGGGTCAGCACTGGTCATATGGCCCTAAGGCAGCTGGGCTATGAGCTACCACTTCCAGCAGGGGTACCAAACAGAGAGAGTGTGCCAGAACGACTAATGGGAGAGACTGAAGCCTGCCCAGACAAAGGGAGCTTAAAAGCATATGGGTCCAGTGTGTGGGAAGTGAACCAAATACAGCAGCCTGGTGAGTGTCCAGAAGGGGGAGTTTGACTAGACCTATGACAATGAGTAAAGAAGGAATGCAATTATCCTTTTCTCTTCATCTGTTAAAACATTTTCTAATATTAATGCTGATTTTTTATAAACTGGATAGGTAGTATTTATTATGTATTAAATATGTACAAGCTTCACAGGTTATGTCTTCATGTTTCCCAGTTTGAACCCTTTTAAAAAAAAACTTCAAATGGATAAAGTAAAAGCTGATGCGTTACAGACCCAGAGCCTGTAATGCAATCTGCTAGTGTGTATTGCTGGATCCATGTGGAGTAGTATTAATTTCAATGAGAATCTTTTGGGATGTAAGTGTCCATGCTAGCAGATGCTCAGATATGTTGGCAATGGTTAGATCGGTTCAACCAATTTTTTTACGAAATTAATTATGGTGTAATGCTAAATTATCCAAGAGCAATTTCACTGTCTATCTTCAGACAATTTATTGCTACAATTTACATATTGGATGAAACTTGGGAATCTCTTTGGTTATACAGAATCATGTGCTCTCTTGCAAAGATGGAAATTTTATTACTAATTTATGTTTTGGAATACAAGGTGTGTGTTATACATGTCAAAAAAAGATCCCAAGTACTTCAATCAATACTGGAGAACTTGTATTCAAAACAACGTATTTTTCATATTTTGGACACATCTACTGATAGAATAACTGAATCAATAAAATTGGATTAGAACCCTTCAATATGCTGTGTTACTGGGAAGATATATCAATGGACATATCAAGAAACTAACTCTGCAGCTATTACTCTGCAAAATAACAATGCAAGAAATTGGCTACATGCCTAGAATCTTAAGTATCACAGAATGGAACAAACTTGTCTGTATATTTGATTAGACTAGAAAGGTTAACTCGCTCAGCAAATAGTTCTCGATATAGATTACAAACGATGTTCACTGAGCGCACATGGAACTGTTAATGCCTAAGGAAATCAAATACTAATACAATTCCATTGCAGCTATGGGTTACTTCTGACTCAGTACCAAATAAGAGTTCTGAATCATTTAGGATGCTCTAACTAGAGTTGTACATCCCACAGTGGCAAACTGTTCCCCCAAGTATATCATGATGAGGGGCTTGTTTCTGGGTGCTGAAACTGACTTGCACAACTTTAAAAAAACACGTTAATTAAAACAGATGAAGACAGGGCATATGACATGCCGGATATGCAGTATGTAGGAAATTATCCTGATTGAAGTCTTTAGATGCTATTGCAATATGAACAGGAATAACTTTAAAATGCAATCTCTGACTGTGGTGAGATATTTGATTTTAAGCTGAGAGCACAGGGTCTTCAAAGCACAGGCAGATTTTTTTCCTTTTGATAATGCTGCTTTCCCAGGACAATGGTTCTGACACTTGAAAAGCACACACCCACTTCTGCATGGAAGCATCTACAACGACTGGGCAGTTTGCATCAACCAATATCTCGATGGTAACTATTTACTCTTCTGGTTAAGATTTTAAATTTTGTTTTAAACGAAGCCCTAACAGCGTTGTAAAATGCGCCCTCCATGTCTCGGGGGCAAACACAATGTTAACAAATACCCCCTCGGGGAACTTTGTTTTCTAGGCAGAGCGGAGAAGGCAGCAGTCTCGGCCGGCCCACCAGAGCCTGCCAGGGCCTCCTCTTCAAGCCCCGGTTCCCAGCACTGAGAGCATCATGGGAGGGCCCGGCTTGCCCGTTTGTCTAATGAAAGTCAGGTTCAGCCTTGCAGGTTGCAGAGAAAAGCTTGCGAAGGGTACCATCAGAAGAAGAGCGCCCGCGGTGCTTGTTACGTCTCCTGCTGCGGGGCGCTGCCACTCTGCTTGGGGCACTAGGTGCCCGAAGTCAGCAGACGCGGCGACCCCCACACCACCGGGGCTGTATGCAGGCCGCCCGCTGGGCCGGGTACGTACCGGGGCTTGCAGCGGCCCACGGGCCAGTCGGTGCCTAGCCCAGCGCGGGAGAGCCGGGCTGCGCCCGCAGCAGCAAGCGGGACCCTGGCACGGAGCGAGGCGGGGGTGGAGCCTGGAGCGGGCGGTCGATGGTTGGCAGGGCACTGGGGGAGGGAGGAAGAAGGAGGAGCCGCCACCGGCCCTAGCAATACCTCCGCCTATCCCCTTTAAGATGAACAGGTGACACAAAGCAAGAGGCGTCATAAATGGTGAAAGCGCGCGGGAAACTGTATTCTGCCTCCATGATTGGCCAGGAGAATAAGACAACAACAGCGCGCGCCAAACGCCGCAACCGGCCCGGCCTCTTTACAGCCCACCATAACGCCACGAAGGCCCCGCCTCCTTCCTTCAGCGGCCCAATCAGTACCTGACCAGCTCCTTCAGAAAGGCGCCCCTACTGCAGGGCGGAGCATCGCTTGGCTCACCGCCGCTGGCCCGCGATCCCAAGAAGTTTCGAATTCTGTTGGCCGGAGAGCGCCCTAGCCAATGGCGGAGCCGGGATGTGACCTAGCCCCGCCCACATGGGCGTGACCGGCCACTTTCTCACAGGTGATTGCCTGGACTTGGCTGTCACTCCATTATGTATCAACGGGATTCGGTGATTGGTTCCGCCCAGGCGCGAAATGTAACGCGGGAAAATCTTGGGCTCGGCAGGGGCCGGGCTGCCTGCAGGTTCGGAGGGGTCGCGGCGGCGGCTCGGGTTCTGTTGTGACCGAGGCCAGGTTGTGGAACCGACACCGCCGCAAACAGAGAAGCGCAGGTGCGGCCGCTTCTCCGCGGGCTGCTGCCATGGCCGGCGGCCGCCGCTGACACGGCGCATCTGCAGGTCGGCGGCCGGAGCGGGAGGGGAGACACTGAGACCCAGAGAGGACCGGCCGGCGATGAGTGGCTGAGGCGGATCGGGCGGTGACAGGCGGCTGTAGGGTGAGATCTCCGCGCCCGGGAGAGCGGGCCTGAACCGCTATGGAGATTCCCCGCCCCGCTGCCTGCGAGGGGCTCGCGATGGCGGAGAGGCCGCCCCCGGTGATCTTCTGCCAGGATTCCCCGAAGCGTGTCCTAGTCTCCGTTATCAAAACCACCCCGATTAAACCGTCCCGGGGGGGCGACGAGCCGGCGCCCGCCCCGCCCGTCCCCACCAGCCCTGGCTTCAGTGACTTCATGGTGTATCCCTGGCGCTGGGGGGAAAACGCGCACAACGTGACCCTCAGCCCCAGTAGCGCCGCCGCTCCCTCCTCCGTCCAGCAGCCTCGAGGGGGGGTGGTCAGAACCTCCAGCGGGGAGGATGAGGAGGCGGGCAGCCCGGATAGCGGCGGCAGCCACCTGAAGGTGAGTCCGGAGGGAATATGCCAGGGAGCTGGGCAGGATGGGGTTAAACCCTCGCCGGGTCCATAGGAGCTTTGGGCCAGAGCGGGGATGGGGGAGGCGCTGCCGCCGCTGGGCCCTAGTGGACATGGCGCAGGGCGTCTGTCGGGTTTAAAGGGTGAATCTGTGGCCACCACCCCCGATTTAAAGTGAAGTCACTTCCGCGTGCGGTTTGTGCGCCGGTGACGACACATTCGCGCGCCAAAATTGTACCCGCCAGACGCTCGCTCGCCGTTTGCCTGTGTCACATGCTGGCTGGGGAGGGCGCGACAGCGCTCCGGCTCCACTCCTTTGCGCAGGCGCGCTGCGGAATGTCCGCCTGTAAGCCTAGGGTTCGGCCGGGGGCGGGGCTGCCTGCAGTCTGGGCCTTCGGGGCTCGGAGCAGAGCTGCGGGGAACGTGGGCCAGTGACTTGACACCCCCTCAGTAACCTGGGTATGGGGGTCGTTACAGTGGTGGAATCTCACCTGTTTGCAACACGTGGCCTTTTGCAGCCTCTGTAGTGCTGCCCCGCCCTGCGCAGTGCTTCTGTACAAATGCTCAGCTGTGTCTCGCTGATCCCAGACCACATGCTCAGCTTCCACGTAAAAATGCTTCTCCAAACTGCCAACCCAACAAAGCCAGCCCGGCCCTGAGAGTCCGGCTGTGCTCCTTACCTCCCACCCTCAGCCTCGGTAACCGCTGAATCTGTATGGCAGCTAATGATCTCTGTTGTACTGCAACACGTGCCAAGTGTAAAGTGTGAGGAGGTAATTTTGTCGCGTTCAAAGTTCCTCTAAACTCCTGGTTGCAATTGATGGAATATAGATATTTAAATACATGATCCTCCTACAAATCGGCTGGCTGGCTGAGTTCTTTCAAGAGTCAACCCCTTCTAAAACAATCTTTTATCTCTTTTTTATGTCCCAGTGTTAAACTGGGAATCCTCCAAAGTGGGCATTATTAAAATATGGATTACAGTGATAAAAATGTAAATAGCAACTTAGTTGAGTTGTATAGGTCTCAGAACAATGCACATTCCAAGACTTCTTGTGTATTACTTATTCATACAAATGCTATTGCCACCTCTTTTCTGGACCTGAAGTTTTAAAATGTGCTCAAATCAATGTCAGCTAAGAGGACTATGCATGATGTGGTAGTTATCTTTCCTTTTTCACAAGTGGAGCTGTTCAGTCCTGACAGATGTTGCCTCTTGTTCTGTTATGCGCTCTCTAACTGATCCAAAGTTGGAATGGCCTTAATACTTTCAATAATAATTTCATGCTGTCAGTAGTAGGGAAAGGGAGAGGTTTAGCGGGAGGGGACTCTCAATCCTGATGCTCCCTAAAATAGGAGCTAGATTAGTCTAATATATTTTAAAAGTTATAAAAAGTCTTTCCAAAATATTCTAGATCATATAATAGTCTTCCCTCTGCCAAGATGATAGTGCTGTGCAAGTAGGTTTCATCATGGGAGATGAAATAGTGATGGTTTTTATTTACACTATATTCATTAAGAGTACTCAAGCAGCGCACAGGCAATCCTCTTTTTCAGGAATCTAAGCCCAAACACCAATGCCTGGTTCCCAGGGAGCAACTCTGTCCCAAGAATTTACTTACCTTAAAGAGATTAAGGCAGAGAGCAAATTGTGCTGCTTTCTTCCAGAAAGAAATTGCATCCCAAAATTAATAACAATGTAACATTTATTTGAAAACTGAACAGAGCTCATATGCCGAGAACATTTTTTTTTAAAACTATGTAATAGAGCCATCTGGTGACTCCTACCATAATAAGATACTTTAGGGTGCCAGATATTCCCAGACTTCATATTTGCTGTTCTTTCATGATGTACTTATTTTTAAACAATTGTTCATCATGGTTATTCAGACAAACCGGTTCAAGAGTTAATGTTAAATCTATGTAATCCCTGGGTCCAGCTCTTTCACTCTTCATTACGTGTGTGTGTGTGTAACTTGAATGCTATTGTGTTTATGCAATGACATGTTTCTAGTATCTAATTACTTGTGTTCTTTAAAAATGACATTTAAACTGGAGCTTTGTGATTAACTTGTTTTCAGGAAAAAAATAATTGCTATGGATTTAAATAATCTCTTGATGTGGTTCTTTTAATGCTTGGTGAATAACTATGATGGAGGAAAATAAAAGCTATAAGACAACTGTATTTTCCTGATGTGCTGGTACATACTTTCTTTCGAAAAAGTTGCTCCTGTTTAGAAAAGTTTCCTTGGACTGAATCATTTGTGTCCGCAAGTACTATATTGATATTTTTTAAACAAACGGTGCAGTTTCTTAATAGTGTGGGTTTTTTAATAGGATGGTATTAGACGTGGCCGACCAAGAGCAGAGACAGTGCGAGATCTAATAAGTGAGGGAGAGCATTCATCCAGCCGAATCCGTTGTAACATCTGCAACAGGGTGTTTCCACGAGAGAAATCTTTACAGGCACACAAAAGAACTCACACCGGTAAGTGAAAGGAATGTAATGTTGTGCATAGAAAACATATTTATCAAGTAGTTAAGATTTTAGCTTGGAACTTCTCATTCTTACAATTAGTATTCTGGTCTAGTTATTGAATGGACTACGTTTTTTCCCTGAGGTCTAGTATGGTCAAAAATTCAAAAAAATGTCATCTTTGTGTAACTGCTTGTGTTTATACTGGAGTAACTGTGGCAGAGCAACCAGTATTGCTATGGTAAAAAGAAACATTTAGAGAGGTTTCCCTCTGCTTTAGTTACATGTTACACTTGCTAACTGAAAAAGAGAGAAGAGACTGTGTGTTTTTTTTGTTTGTTTGTTTGTTTTTTTAAGTTTTACTCTATATAGCTGACAGTACTTTTCACTTTCTTTTGCTTCCCTCTTGTGTGGGTCTTTCACACAACAAGGTAAGGGTGAATGCAGAGAAGGAAAATAAATCTATTAAAAATTGTTGGGAGCTTTAGGCCAGGTATAATAATTTGAGCTTTTTTAAAAAAAAACACATTTTTTTTTACTAGCTTTAAATAGACCCTGCCCACTCTCATTTTCTTCATTACCACCCCTTATTTTTGTATTTATTATTTGATGCTAAAATATGTTTCTGGCTTAAATTTAAGGATAAAATCTCTTTTTAGGATTAGTTATTAATTATGAAGTTAACATGCATTTAGATTAAGGGAGATCAGATTTTTTTTAAACTTTCTTTATCTAGCTGCTCTGTTTTGCTCAGCTCTTGCTATTAGGAGGAAAAAACTTCTGACTATCTTAACACAGACCTTTGACCACATGACTAGCACCTAACTGCACCTTTTGGGGGAAAAATAATGTAAGAGTGTTACAGAAAAGTGGCTAATTTTTTGCTAAAACCTTATGCATTGACAAACCGGACCCATCTTGCTTTTGAAAAGCGAGATTCATTGTTCCCTTATACTAATCATAATTTAACAGATTTTTCTTATGTACATGACACTGTATTCTGCAATAAAATGTCACGGTACTTGATAATACCTCCAAAATAACTTGCGTCCTGTGGTTTATTTTTCTGGATCAAATAAGGCAATTCTGCCTGCCTGCCAGTATTAATCACCAATTTCTCTGTTCTTTTTTGGTCACACACACAAGATGTTCTTGTATTTCATTTTCCTGGTAATGTTAAACTTCCATCCCTGAAGTGCTAACTGTGTCAGATTGTCTTAATGGAAAACTCGTTGGGTAAGATTTATCCCTGGTGATGACACTCCATTGACTTGTATAGATTTACTACAATACTAGATTTGGTCAGTTACATCTCACAAAAAGACTGTTTGCCCATTTTATTTACTTTTGAAATTTCACTGTAGAACAGAAAGGCAGAAATTATTAGCTGTATTTATTATTTGCACATTTTTCTTCAGCTGCCCTAATATTCTGCCTCTAAATCCTGATGTCCTTTCTTAGACAAACTCCCCTTGACTTTAGTGGTAGTTTGCCTATATAACTGAAGGTCTTAACACTTTTCTGTGGACAGCAGGCAGCAAATAGCTGGGAAGAGAAGAAATTCTGAAGTTCTTTTTGCAGTCTTCCTGGAACTGCCCCTCCCATCCCTAGCTATTGGGGCTCTGTAAAGGGTAGCATGAGTAGCATATAGCATGAGTGCGCAGCTCCACCCCCCCAGAGCACTGCTTTACCGCGTTACTGCGAACCCGTGTTATATCGGGGTAGAAGTGTATGTGACTCACTAACATTCGACTCCATTACTATTAGTATCAGACTTAGAACTGCATTGTGGTGGTGAACCTTGCCCTGCTTCAAATTTCATTGTGGAGGTTTAGGGGAAGCAATACTACAGTCCGAAGCTGTATTTCCTGCCTCTCCAAAACCTCTGGCAGCTACTACTAAGCAGTCAGATGGAAACCCAACCAATGGTAGAATGGATCCAAGAACACTTCTGTCCTTTAATATGAGTAGCATATTGCCAACCCCATTCACAAGTCACTCCATCCAAATCCATATCAAGCACTTGTTTCTGTGTGAGTCCAGGAAATGCTCTGCACAACCCCGTTTTCTCTTTGAAAGGGTAGGATCTGTGAATTTCTGTGCATGGATCAAGGGTGATCTGGCTCCATGTATGGACTTCAGGATTTGGCCCTAGGGACTTAGGCCCAGATCCCCAAAGGTATTTAGACTCCTAACTTCAATTGTAATCAGAGCCTTATTTCTGAAATGTTAGCAATCGTTTCTTTTGGCCAATATTGCATCTTGTATTTGTTGAGTATCACCTAGAGGTGGAACTGTGAACTGTACTACAGATTTAGAACATAATTTCAACAGAGTGCCGTCCTTCATGTACTAGACAACAGGGGCTGCTCCAACCTCTTCCCAGTGCGGGGTTGAGGTGGACTAGAATGAAAATTGGGATGGTGGGGTGTGCTATACATCTTGTGGGCACACATGCTTATTTATTTTTTAACAAAACATTTAAGTGCATGTTATCCTCAGAAGGGGAATAAAAATATATACGGATTGATTGATTGGTTTTAAACTTCATCTAAAGTAGCTCACTTGTGCAACATTTATTTACAGAAAACCAATACGAAAAATAATTAAGCCAATAAAAAATAAACAAATGCAAACTTCTGGGGGGGAAAAAATCACTGGTTAAATATTAATAGCAAATTACCTTGAATTGGAGAAAGTACTGTATTTTAAAATTTAGCCATTTGCACATGGCAGATTAAGATATTTGGAGACTCAGAGCCATGATACAACAATTCAGTCTGGAGCAGGGGGCCTCAGTGCGAGAAAGAGGTAACTGAGCACACAGGTGCTATAGAAGGCATTACCTGGACACCTTCTGCTCTGTTCTCCGTCTATAGCCAGTTTGCAAACCGAAATGTTGTCGGCCGGAGCATGTGCAGATGCAGCAGGCAGGGAGTCACACTCTGGGGATGTGAACCATGTAGGGAGGAAGCAGGGGTGCCATTTCAGATTTTGGTGGTGGGGCAACTACGATTCCAGGGGCTACTTAGACACCTGAAAACTATAGGGTTTTGTGGGGTTGTTGTATTTTTTTCTGGCAGATCACTTAGAAATTAACTGATAGGAGCAGTGTATCTAATTCCTACATAAAGAAAAAAAAATACACACACAAATTAAAGCCATATTTTAAGTTTATATGTAAGTTTAGAACAATCAGGAGATAATATAGCGAGAATCCCAAACCTTGAGGTATAAATTTTGGAGCCTTAACACAGATATCTGAAACACAAGTTAGATGATTTGAACGCTATCTTTATTTTCTCTAACAGACATACTCTGTGTTACTGCTATTATCTACTCTATTTTAGTCATTTTTTATTCCACTAAAAACATTTACTTAATTTTAACATGATTTTTTTCCCCCTTTTATTAAGAACAGGAATTAATTTTTCTAATTATTTTGGCATTTATGTTTACCGATCACGATCATGTACACCTCTACCCAGATATAATGCGATCCTCGGGAGCCAAAATATCTTACTGCGTTATAGGTGAAACCGTGTTATGTTGGGTAGGGAAGGCTGTGCCTCCCTAAAGAGCCTGGCCCCGCCCCCTATTCAACCCCCCCCCCCCCACCTACTTCCTGCCCCTGACCCATCCAACTCGCCCTGCTCCTTGTCCCCTGACCACCCCGTGAGACCCTCTGCCCCTTATCCAACTGCCCGGCCTGGCACCCTTAACACGCCACTCAGAGCAGCGTGTCAGCCGTCCCTCAAGGGTGCGGGGCCTGGGACAAGTCAGCCTCCCCATTAGTTTCCTCACCATCCGCCCAGCGCTCCCGCCCGCCTGGCCGCTGCTCACCTCCTCTCCACATCTACCTGCCTGCCGCTCACCTCCCCGCTAATCTACTCACCGTCTGTCCGGCGTGCCTCCCCCCGTCCGCCACTCTCCTGCTCGCCGTCTTCCTGCCCGCCTGCCTCCTCACCCCCCTCCTGCCTGCCACTCACCTCCCCATTCGCCTCCTTACTCCGCTTGCCTGCCCGCCTCCCACCCTTAACACGCCGCTCAGAGCAGCGTGTCAGAGCTGTCCCTAGAGGGGTGTGGGGCCCAGGACAAATCAGCCTCCCCGCTAGTCTTCTCACCATCCACCCAGTGCTCCCGCCCACCTCCTCACCCCCACCTACCTGCCTGCTGCTCGCCTCCCTGCTAGTCTCCTCCCCGTCTGTTCAGCGCGCCTCTCCCTGTCTGCCCGACCACCACTCTCCTGCTCGCCATCTTCCCGCTTCCTCATCCCCCTCCTGCCTGCCGCTCACCTCCCCATTCGCCTCCTCATCCCGCTTGCCCACCCTTAACACACCCGCCGGAGCGCGCAGCTCTGACCCCCAGAGCACTGCTTTACCGCGTTACTGCAAACCCGTGTTATATCGGTTCGCGTTATATCAGGGTAGAGGTGTATGTGATTCACTAACATTGGACTCCATTACTATTAGTATCAGACTTACAACTTGCATTTATTTTCGTACACATATTTGTAAAGTAACTTAAAATAATTAAAAATACAAATTGAAAATAAGTGACCTTCATCTGCAGTGTTTAAAGTTATGTGTTTAGCTAATGTGTTTTTTAAAACTTGTACTGCTAAAGTGAGTGAGTACAAGCTAAATTTACATTCTAGAAGGACACTTGATTGTACCACTTTGAATAATGACAAAGCACAATAAGGTAAAAGTAGTAATGATGATTACTCCAGCCAGGACAGGTTAGATATTTTTAGAACTCACTACTAAAAAAATTAAATTTAAGCATAAGAGAAATACAATTATGAAATGCACAGTCCGGTCAAAAAACTAATTTAACAGTACTGTAATCCTTAATGAACTTTGAAAGAATAAAATTAGAGAATATATGTGCATTTCGACAGGAAGTGCCAAGAAATAACACCACTACTACTACTACTACTATACGTGTGTGTGAGAGAGAATATGTGTTGGAGGAAGTGTATGGGAGATTGTGTGCACCTGAGAGTGTCAGTGCGCTGTCTCTTTAAGCCAAGCACTCAAGAGCCTGAACAATTGTTCAGTGCAGCAGCTGCAGCTCCCACACCTGAGCCAGAGGCACCAGCACAGACAGGTTCCCTGTCCCCCCAGCTCAGTGGAAACCCACTCAGGAACAGCCACCTCTAACACTGGGCAAGCTCCCACAGCATTCTGCCAGCCATGGATCAACTTCCCAAAGAAGGGGAGACAGCAGCCAAGACAACAGCTGGGTGTCTGGAGATCGTTGGCTGCTGGCCAGGTGCCCAGTTCTGAGAGGGGTGAGGGGGCTAAGCCAAATTTTGGAGTGGCTGTAGCCTCCGCAAGCCCCCCAGCCCTACCCCTGCTAGACAAAGATTAAATCTGTCACCCCGTAATATAAACATCTGTTGTGCTTAATATCCAAGAGGATTTCTCCATTTTACCACAACATAATCACTTCTGCTGTATTAGGGACACTCACATCTCCCTTCTGTCTGAAAATTACTTATTGTTATAAGTAACACCTAAGATTGTTGCAACTGAAGGTTGAGAAAATATTTTTCCTCTAGTCGCTGTTTACTTTGTGTTAGCTCAGTTTATTATTCCTTTATATTGTCACTTTGTTTCTCATTTGTGTGGATCTTTTCACGTAGTAACATGGGAAAGGCTGTGTAAATTGCAAAATATCATTGTAAAATCCCAATTGTTAAGAGAATTAGGGGAAGTGTAGCACCTAAGACTACTTAAACAGGAACTCAACTGACTAAATTTCAGTTTGATGTCCTTGTGGAAGTGGATTTTTGCAGTTTCTGGGCTATGATTATCTTTCCACAAAGGATTTATTTTTTTCATCTTTGATTTAGGGGATCCTGAGCAGAATCACTGAGCCATGGACCATCACTAGATGGTGTCCAGACTTTTTAACTCTTAAAATTCTACTCTAATTTTTTTTTTTTTTTTTTTTAGGTGAAAGGCCTTATTTGTGTGACTATCCAGATTGTGGGAAAGCCTTTGTTCAGAGTGGGCAGCTCAAAACACACCAACGTCTTCACACAGGAGAAAAGCCTTTCGTCTGCTCAGAAAATGGTAAGCCATCAGAAAATAACTGGCAGTATTCAGAGCATGGGCAAGTTTGGCTGTAGTATTAGTACTACCATCCACGTGTGCCCTGGATCTCAATTTTAGATGCTCTTTTAAAAGGGGGGGGGAATAAATCTATGTGCAAACACAAACATTTGTCAGTTTAAAAGCAAAGTTCTTAAAAGTATAAGCAGGTTGTTTAAACAATTACTTAAGTTTTGATTATAGGGCATTCTATGCCAAATTGAATCCAGATTTTAGAGAGGGAAGAAAGTTAATTTAACAATGACATTTTTTTAAATTTTGGGCTTACGTGTTGGACAACTACTTTTCTTGATTATTGTCCTTGCTTTTTTATTAAGGATGTTTAAGCAGATTCACACATGCAAACCGTCATTGCCCCAAGCATCCCTATGCAAGACTGAAGAGAGAAGAACCCACAGGCAGACTGAGTAAAAAACAAACAGCTGACAATAAAGCTGTTGCTGAGTGGCTAGCAAAGTAAGTTCTCTTAAGCTGTGACCATCTAGAATTATTTATTAAAATGCTGAGAGCACTGATTTCAAAAATGTCCGTAGAAGCCAAAAACTTTTACACTCATGGTGTGTTTTGTCATCTGACTATTTAAATTCCTCTTGAATTACAATACTTTTTATACAACTTTTATGTGAAACAATTTTTAAAGACTCTGTCATTATTTCTCTGGGTCGTATTTACCTTGCAGTTCTTGAATGTATTGATTCCTTCACAGCTATGCCACGAGAGAGTTAATCTAGCAAAGGTTAATCCATAGAGCCTTTGAGAGAATTAAAATTATCAGTATCAGAAACTGACTTGGTACCTTTCACTGGTACAACCACCCCAAGTCAAACTTCTTCTTTAAGGCACTTCTCGTGACATAGTTTCTCTGAAAGTTCTTAATATTCCCTCCATGGTTACACAGATGTCTCATTTGATGAATGTACTACTACTGCATGCTCTATAAACTCATTGTACTCTAAAGACAATACAACACACTTCCTCTGTTCTTCATTTTCTCTTCAGGTTGAATGATTCAGCTGTTCCCTAGTGTGCTATTTGTTTAAATTCCAGAGGTTAGAATTAACTTCTCTAGTGGTAGTTGCTTCAGCTTTCTTTCTCGTTGGGATGGACTCTTGCCTTCTCACCTGTTCTCCCTTCTCTATACGATTTCCCCCTTTGTGTGGCTCTTTGCTTATTGCAGAAGCTGTTAATACAGTGCTGTCCGTTGGTGCTGCAGTGTTCATGCTGTTGAATACTCATGTATGAGGGAAGGTGGTGGTAGGTGTAATAAGAGCTGATTGACTCTTTGGAGAGAGAGGTCTTGTAGTGGACTGGGACTTGAGATTTGAATTCAGTTCCTGACTGCCACAGACTTCTAAATTAGTCATTTAATCTTAGTTTCTGAGACATTAAAATTTCTATCTGTAAAATGTGGATAACAGTACTCCCTATCTTCCTGACTTTGGAACAGTGTACATGGGGTTGTGGTGGATTTTCCATCACTGGCAACTTTTAAATCAAGATTGAGTGTTTTCTAAAAGATATTCTCTAGTTCAAACAGGAACTATTTCAGGGAAGTTCTCTGGCCTGTGTTTATTAAGGAGATCAGACTAAATTATCACAGTGGTCCTTCCAGGCCTTAAAATCTATGATGGAGGTGTGGGAACTACATGTAGAAAGGATTTGCATTGTAGATGTGTGTGAGGACAGGGAGCTGAATACCATTTGACATCATATTCCTGAGGTGGAAAGCTTTCTGTTTGTTTAAATGCTACAAAAGAAGGACTGAGAAATTAGCAATTGGAATGAAATGAATGATCCAATCATGTTTTAAGATTCTAGTTTGGAAGATTCTTGTCAGCTTTCAATGAAACTTGTTGTGCAAGTTGGATGATGCTTATAAAATATGTAAAACTTTAACTCCCCAGATATTGGGAGACTAGAGAGCAGCGCACTCCTACTTTGAAAAGCAAAACAGCTCAGAAAGCTGACCAGGAACAACAAGATCCCTTGGAATATCTTCAGTCTGATGAAGAGGATGATGAGGAAAAAAATAGTGCTCCCTCAGCTGCCCGCCGTCGCCTTCAGGAGCAGCGTGAACGCCTTCATGGTGCACTGGCTCTTATTGAGCTTGCAAACCTGGCTGGAGCACCACTGCGACAGTAGCATAGGAACTGAATCTGCCAGTATATAAAACGTACTGCCTGGTGGTACTTAACCAGTTAGATCCTGGGCATAAGCTAAGCACCTTATTTGCTTATCATAGGCTGCTATTCTGTAGAATTTATGAAGAATGTTGTTGCCCCACAAGATGGGGTGAGAGAATTGCACTTTTTTGTATGGTAAAAGACAGATGTAAAGTTTTTAAGTATTTTGTAAATATGGGACTGCACAATGCAGGGTCAACAAATTGCATATTGTGGAAAGTTAAGATTTTTGCAAGGTTAATTCATTCATTTGAAGCAGTTCTCACAGGAAGCACTTTCTGAACATAATGCTGTATGAATAGGAGAATTGTACAGGTAACAAGATGAGGATTATTTATCTGACTATTTAAACAAAATTACATTTAGTATGTTTGATAATACTGTAAGCAGTGATGCAACCAAGTCTTTAATGGCAATATATTTTGCCTAGTATCACTGAGAAGAGGGCAAAGGTTCTAACTTGTGGCGGGGAAGAAACTGGTTATGTAGAAACTGAGAGTTCAGGATCTTCACTGTGACTGCCCAAAGTATGAGACTGACTTCGCTATCATATTTTAGACTTGAGATTTCAGTAGAATCTCTTGGTCTGAGTAGCACTTGTTATTCCTAGCACATGATGTTGGGAACTTTTGCACATTGTCGGGCTTATTTGAAGATGAATGATTAGCCTTGCAAAGTCTAGACATAAAGGTAACAATTCGTAATATTTCTCAGATATTTTGGACCCTGTAATGAGATTTGGCACTTGTTTTGTTAATAAAGTGGGTATTTACAGGGTGGTATTGATTTGTAGTAAACTATTTAGACATCTTATTAGCTAACACTACGTTTTAAAGTTCTGCTTTTATATGAATATTAGCAAATAGAAGCCTCCATATTCTTTTTTTAATTGCATAAAGCCACCTTATTGCTTTACTTCAGGATAAGATGTCAAGTTTGTGTTCACTAAGTGTAGTACAGCTATCAGTTAAACACGGCAGAAGAATATTTGTTATTCAACTAGAAAATAGGCTTCCAGAGATAGTTGCAAGTGTGTTTTAAATTGTGTGGTTTCATATATCTTTCCCAAATAAATGAAGTTACAGAACATGGCTTAGTGATCTCAAGCACAAAACGAAAAGTAAGTTTAGCAGTACATCCTCATCACCTCATGTTTTGTATTGGTTTTATCTGACTTACAATACAACAGGCTTGTCTCATGGTCTTATTTTGCTTTTCTTTTGAGCAGCATATAACCAGAGATGCATAATATGCTAACAGATAATAAATTTGGTGAATTGGGCATGCTCCTGAATATTTTTTTTGTCAGGCTGCTGGTTTAGTGGATATTAACAAAAAATCCAGTTATCTTCAAATTTATTGACCTACTGCTTCTGTAGATCATAACATTACCCGGCCTATAGACCCCTCCCTCTTATCACAACAAAACCAGAAAATATAGATGTGAAGGGGAGCCATTTTTCCTGTTAGTGTGAGAGGGAGGAAAAAGTATTCAAAACTTGAGTAATTTTTTTAAAACTGATTAGATGAGGACAGATGTTTCAGAAATCTAACATGATTACAGCAGAGAATGCTACTCTTGAATTCAGTTTCTAATAACTGATGCCTATAATGGCATGAATTTTATTAACCTGGTACGTGTTTAGAATTGAGTTGGTGCACTTAACTAAACAGTGGTCAGAGAGATTCTGACTTAAGTGGTTATGATTTTTAGACTTACCAATGTAGTTCTTGATTTCTTGTGTTCATTTCCTTGTTAATTTATTTGGCCTCAAACTTTAAAAAAAAAAAATTAAATAAAGCAAAATACTCTTCTGTGGCCACCTGGAACATTCTAACTACATACAACTACTTGGCAATTCAAAGGCAGTAGCTGTAAAACCTCTAAGACTAACGGTGTTGGGCCCTAATCCTTCAAGTTACTGGACATGGGCAGAGCCCTATGCATGCCCACATGGAGCACCACTGACTTTATAGGCACTCCATGTGGACACAGATCTGTTAGCAGCCAGTTGCAGAATCAGCCATGTATTGGGGGCGGGGAGGAGAACCTGTTTCCCCAATCAATCAATTATAATAGGTTCAACACATTTACAGTACTGGAAGAAACTTTCTACAAATTATTCAATACACTGAATTTGGTCTAACTAGACACATTCAAGCAGCTTAACCTGTTTTGTTATACATTTTGGGAAAATACCAACTATAATTGTTTGAGGTGTTGAAGACTGCTTTTGGAGTATTTAATGTAATTTTGAAGTGTTCTGTGCTGCATAAGTGTCAGTTGTAGTTTGGCATGACTTAACAGCAAAAGAGTAAAAGTGCTGTAATTTTCATAGGTGCTCCAAATAAAAGTTGGTTTAATTTTAAGTTTAAAATCCAAGTGTTAGCAGTGGTAATTTTTGATCATGTTTTTAACTGTATTTGGTCAAGCTAGTTGCTCTTGACTCCCACAGTTCAATCACTTTATAACTATTCCTTGACCCTTTAAAAGGGTTTATTGGCCTGACCAGTACACTGTTGTAGGGAAAAAAAAATACTTTTGCTGTTTACTTCCTAATCTCCTAACTTGAAATTGGTTTCTGAACTTTATTACGGTATTTGATGAATTCAAGATAATTCACTTGAATAAGAATCCTGCTTGGAGTAATTATGGTAGCCCAAAATGAATAAACATGGCGAGAATACGTTTTCATTAAGTAGTCCAAGCTAGTGAAGTGTCCTACTTCATGACTAACAATTCAGTTTGCAGTTGATCCTCTGTTCATTTTCAAGTTCTTATTCTTTGTCGGACATGATAGGTGTGAAAGAGCTTATCAGTATCTTAGATTAAGGTACGCTGTGGGCACTAGAAAACTAATGATATGCAACTGGAATTGTCATGCAACATTGTCCAGAATACTTAAATGGCAAGACTGGTTAATAACACAAGCTATAGTTTCATCAGACTTCTATACTTGGTTCTCTGAGGGGACAAAATTGGTAAATAAAAGCATTGCTTAAGGAAAATTTAAATATTTTCTAAAGATAATTCCCTCTCCTGTAAAATTCATGTTACCTTGAAGTGATTTTGTAAGTTATTAGCAAGGGTGGCAATTGGCATGTAGCCTACCCAACAGGAATTGAATGGAGGTCACTGAAGAAACTGATATAACCATTCCTATGCACTACTGATCAAGTAGATAGCTGAAATAATTACCAAAAATGAGCAATCTGCTTAGCTTTCTTACGAGGGGGTAGAACCTACCTAAAAGTCTAACCCTGGAATTTGTGTACACTCACTTTCTAACAGGTGCTCTTTTGTGAGAATTTTGCATTACTATATAAGAGGCTGTACAAATACTGTACAGGATATTGCAGAATTGAGTCTTATTTGCATGATATTCTTATCGATAAACTAGGCAAATACAGTTTAGATGGGGCTACTATAAGGTGGGTGCATAACTGGCTGGATAACCGTACTCAGAGAGTTGTTATTAATGGTTCCCAATCCTGCTGGAAAGGCGTAACGAGTGGGGTACCGCAGGGGTCTGTTTTGGGACCGGCTCTGTTCAATATCTTCATCGACGACTTAGATATTGGCATAGAAAGTACGCTTATTAAGTTTGCAGATGATACCAAACTGGGAGGGATTGCAACTACTTTGGAGGACAGGGTCATAATTCAAAATGATCTGGACAAATTGGAGAAATGGTCTGAGTTAAACAGGATGAAGTTTAACAAATGCAAAGTGCTCCACTTAGGAAGGAAAAATCAATTTCACACATACAGAATGGGAAAAGACTGTCTAGGTAGGAGTACGGCAGAAAGGGATCTAGGGGTTATAGTGGACCACAAGCTAAATATGAGTCAACAGTGTGATGCTGTTGCAAAAAAAGCAAACATGATTCTGGGATGTATTAACAGGTGTGTGGTGAGCAAGACACAAGAAGTCATTCTTCCGCTGTACTCTGCTCTGGTTACGCCTCTGCCGGAGTATTGGGCCCCGATCTGGCCCCCTCATTTTA